GGGGGGGGGGGATTTCTCCAAGTACTTCAGTTTCCCCTGCCAATCTTCATTCCACCAAATTCTCCATCATCATAATCACCCAGGGCAGGCTACAATAGGCCAATCAATGGCCGCCATGCTGAGTGGACCCAGTTGGACTCCACCCCCCATTAAGCGAATTAAAAAAATTATATGTTTAACATATGAGCCAGGTTAGTTCAGTCATATAGTGACTGGCTGTGAGCAATTTCTGACAGGAACAAGTTTTTTCTCCATCACTGTGCCCAAACCAGTTCTGGGTCCATCCTGCTTTTTATCCAATGGATACCAGGGGCTCTGTCCCAAGAGGTAAAGCAGCTAGAATATGAAGTTGATCACTCAATTTTATAATGTAAATAAATTTGAGAAATGTTCACATAGAATCAATTTTGATATTATCTCATGCATTTGTCTATATTTTATGTGGCGCGGCTATAAAATAACCAGACTGATTTTTTTGCCAGCAGGGTTGCATATTAGCCTGTCCTCTCCTCTCCACTCCATCAACCCAACAACTTCCAAAGCCATAGGCCAACAGTGTCGTAGCAGCCTTTGTTTGAAGCAGACCATGTATCTGAGCTCCATCAGAATTATATAGTGTTAAAGTAGAGCAACGTGTCAATGTGAAATTCCTCGCAAAACTTGGAAAATCCTCTACAGAAACATACATTTTGTTGATGGAAGTTTATGGTGATGAATGTCTATCTCGTACTCAAGTTTTTGAATGGTTCAGAAGGTTTAAAGAGGGAAGGGGAGAGATCGAAGAAGATCAGTGTCCCAGTCGGCCTTGCACATGAGAAACAGATGCTAACATTGAAAATTAGGTGAAATTGTTTGAAAAAATCATAGCTTGAGCATTCGAGCAGCTGCTGAATTAGCAAACATTGTTAAAGAAAATGTTTGACAGATTTTACATGAATATTTTAACATGAGAAAAGTGTGCTCGAAGATGGTGCTGAGAATCCTCACTCCTGAGCAAAAGGAAACTTGAATGAACATTTTTGCTGACATCCTTCACAACATTGAACATGATCCAAATTCTTCAGGAAATGTAATAACTTGTGATGAATCATGGGTTTTTCATTATATTTTATATTGTATTTTAGCATCACGTTGTATTGAGGCATCATTCTTGTTATGAAACTATCCATCAATAATGCAACAATTTAAAAGACATTAGGAATATGTCTCACACTAAAAATGTATTTCTGTACATTAAAAGTGATTATCCAATTTTCTGAAATGTCTTTGGTCATGTATTTCTTCTAGTTTATGACATGTTTTGGCCATATGGGTCATCATCAGGTAATTTCTTTTCTTTTGGGGAGACCACTGCATTGTATATTTGTTCACTGTGCTTCCATGCATGTCAATATGTAGTTTCTATCTCATGATCAGAATGCCGTCGTTGCACTCTATTGCATCTGTCGTAGGTTTTGTGTGTCGTATGTATCACTAGTGCAGTCTACCGCACTGGTGATGGTGCTGTGTAGGGGTCGGGGAGGGGACCACTTTGAAGGTGATAACATTTCCATTGTGTGATTAAATGGTAACAGATTTTAGAACATCAGTGCAGTTATTTTATAGTCACTCCACGTATAGTATCTAACTGAAGCGTCTTATTTTTCCATCATGATAAAACAGTTCTATTAGTTGTCTTGATAATATGATAATTGTATTTTATACAGGGTTTGCTACATTACCATGTGACTAACCCCAACACACCTTGGAGATATCTCTTCATTACCATGGAGAGGGTGAAACAGCACTTCGAAGTTGTGGAAGATTACACTATCAGTGAGACAACACTGGAGCAAGTATTCCTGTCCTTTGCAAAGGCACAACCACCATACACTTCTGTAAATTAACCAAGTATTATAATAACACTGCCATTGCAACAGTAATCTTTACAATATTTCCATGTATGTCTTTATATACTGCATATTCTGTACTCATTTCACCTACTTGTAAAGCTTTATTTTATCCTGCTGTCCTTATTTTACACAGGAAAATGGACTCATCATATCCTCATGTCTGTGCGTGCACACATGCATTTGTGTAATCTTTTCTAGTGCACTCCCCCACAAATACTATGATTAGACTTGCAACAGTACAGTTTTGTGTGCAATAAATAAATATAAGGCCCAATGATGCATGCAAAATAGCAGAAGTTTTCAAAAATATAAGTACAACTTTTGGCTCTTGTTTTTAATTAAGGATCTGTATATGAGCATGATATAATGAAGTAAGAGCTATTTCTAATGTTATATTTTAGCGTCCTGTTGCACTGATTTAAGTCCATGATTTATTTAATCCGTCTTGCAGTGCATACACTCATTTATCTCCTTCTTTCCCTCGCACTACATGTTTCGGCATAATAATGCCATCTTCAGGTGCTTACTTGTCCACGTCAAACCAGTTCATTGCATGCCATGTTCACACATTAAAATAACTAAAATATGTATCTATCATATACATTGTCAAACGTTAAAAATATTAAAATTGTTCAGGATACCACATCGCTACGTCGCCCCTCACTACGTCAGTCACGCCCATTCTCCTTTGTTGGAGCACTCCTTCACTATCTTGTGTGTTGTGCTTTTGTTGTGTCGTGCTCCTGCGACTGCGTGTGTTATACTNTTTTTAACGTTTGACAATGTATATGATAGATACATATTTTAGTTATTTTAATGTGTGAACATGGCATGCAATGAACTGGTTTGACGTGGACAAGTAAGCACCTGAAGATGGCATTATTATGCCGAAACATGTAGTGCGAGGGAAAGAAGGAGATAAATGAGTGTATGCACTGCAAGACGGATTAAATAAATCATGGACTAAGAGCTATTTGTTAGTTGCACTATAGGCGGAAAAAGGCTACAAGTGATATTTCAACGCAACTGGATGCTGAAATATAATATTAGCTATTTGTTAGGCTTTGAGGTATACATAAATGAGTGCTATTCAGTAAGTTACTATCACAACATGAGTGGGAAATACGAGTATATCAGGTTTGTGCCTATTCACATCTTTTCAGAATAAAATTTAACTGAAATGTGTAAGTTAAAATTAAATATGTGTAAACAATGTGCAAAAACTCTACAGTCTGCCAGAATAACTGGTTCACCAGTTCAATCTTGAGATCAGTTAACACAAAGGGTATTGCACTGAAGACCCACCCCACCCAGCTTCCTATACAGTGGGTACCAGGGGTTAAGTGGCAGGTGCATGGAGCTGCCTAGTCACCTCCATCTAGTGTACAGGTCAAGAATGGTGAAGCTATACCTTCACTCCCCATACATCTTCAAGCTGTGCTGAATCAAATAAGCACAAGGACAACTTTACCCTTTTTTTATGACAAATTTTCATTGAAAAAGGATCTGATATCAAAAGATATGTATATGTATATGTACAGATATGTGTAGTAGTACACTTTAGTGAAATGTGAAAAGTGGGCTATGTTGTTTTTAAATTGTGATTACAATAAAATAATTGGTCTAGTAGAGAAAATTCTTGTTCTCATCTCAGTTCTCTAAATGTTTATGAATTCAGATTTTNTATGGTGATGAATGTCTATCTCGTACTCAAGTTTTTGAATGGTTCAGAAGGTTTAAAGAGGGAAGGGGAGAGATCGAAGAAGATCAGTGTCCCAGTCGGCCTTGCACATGAGAAACAGATGCTAACATTGAAAATTAGGTGAAATTGTTTGAAAAAATCATAGCTTGAGCATTCGAGCAGCTGCTGAATTAGCAAACATTGTTAAAGAAAATGTTTGACAGATTTTACATGAATATTTTAACATGAGAAAAGTGTGCTCGAAGATGGTGCTGAGAATCCTCACTCCTGAGCAAAAGGAAACTTGAATGAACATTTTTGCTGACATCCTTCACAACATTGAACATGATCCAAATTCTTCAGGAAATGTAATAACTTGTGATGAATCATGGGTTTTTCATTATATTTTATATTGTATTTTAGCATCACGTTGTATTGAGGCATCATTCTTGTTATGAAACTATCCATCAATAATGCAACAATTTAAAAGACATTAGGAATATGTCTCACACTAAAAATGTATTTCTGTACATTAAAAGTGATTATCCAATTTTCTGAAATGTCTTTGGTCATGTATTTCTTCTAGTTTATGACATGTTTTGGCCATATGGGTCATCATCAGGTAATTTCTTTTCTTTTGGGGAGACCACTGCATTGTATATTTGTTCACTGTGCTTCCATGCATGTCAATATGTAGTTTCTATCTCATGATCAGAATGCCGTCGTTGCACTCTATTGCATCTGTCGTAGGTTTTGTGTGTCGTATGTATCACTAGTGCAGTCTACCGCACTGGTGATGGTGCTGTGTAGGGGTCGGGGAGGGGACCACTTTGAAGGTGATAACATTTCCATTGTGTGATTAAATGGTAACAGATTTTAGAACATCAGTGCAGTTATTTTATAGTCACTCCACGTATAGTATCTAACTGAAGCGTCTTATTTTTCCATCATGATAAAACAGTTCTATTAGTTGTCTTGATAATATGATAATTGTATTTTATACAGGGTTTGCTACATTACCATGTGACTAACCCCAACACACCTTGGAGATATCTCTTCATTACCATGGAGAGGGTGAAACAGCACTTCGAAGTTGTGGAAGATTACACTATCAGTGAGACAACACTGGAGCAAGTATTCCTGTCCTTTGCAAAGGCACAACCACCATACACTTCTGTAAATTAACCAAGTATTATAATAACACTGCCATTGCAACAGTAATCTTTACAATATTTCCATGTATGTCTTTATATACTGCATATTCTGTACTCATTTCACCTACTTGTAAAGCTTTATTTTATCCTGCTGTCCTTATTTTACACAGGAAAATGGACTCATCATATCCTCATGTCTGTGCGTGCACACATGCATTTGTGTAATCTTTTCTAGTGCACTCCCCCACAAATACTATGATTAGACTTGCAACAGTACAGTTTTGTGTGCAATAAATAAATATAAGGCCCAATGATGCATGCAAAATAGCAGAAGTTTTCAAAAATATAAGTACAACTTTTGGCTCTTGTTTTTAATTAAGGATCTGTATATGAGCATGATATAATGAAGTAAGAGCTATTTCTAATGTTATATTTTAGCGTCCTGTTGCACTGATTTAAGTCCATGATTTATTTAATCCGTCTTGCAGTGCATACACTCATTTATCTCCTTCTTTCCCTCGCACTACATGTTTCGGCATAATAATGCCATCTTCAGGTGCTTACTTGTCCACGTCAAACCAGTTCATTGCATGCCATGTTCACACATTAAAATAACTAAAATATGTATCTATCATATACATTGTCAAACGTTAAAAATATTAAAATTGTTCAGGATACCACATCGCTACGTCGCCCCTCACTACGTCAGTCACGCCCATTCTCCTTTGTTGGAGCACTCCTTCACTATCTTGTGTGTTGTGCTTTTGTTGTGTCGTGCTCCTGCGANTTTTTAACGTTTGACAATGTATATGATAGATACATATTTTAGTTATTTTAATGTGTGAACATGGCATGCAATGAACTGGTTTGACGTGGACAAGTAAGCACCTGAAGATGGCATTATTATGCCGAAACATGTAGTGCGAGGGAAAGAAGGAGATAAATGAGTGTATGCACTGCAAGACGGATTAAATAAATCATGGACTAAGAGCTATTTGTTAGTTGCACTATAGGCGGAAAAAGGCTACAAGTGATATTTCAACGCAACTGGATGCTGAAATATAATATTAGCTATTTGTTAGGCTTTGAGGTATACATAAATGAGTGCTATTCAGTAAGTTACTATCACAACATGAGTGGGAAATACGAGTATATCAGGTTTGTGCCTATTCACATCTTTTCAGAATAAAATTTAACTGAAATGTGTAAGTTAAAATTAAATATGTGTAAACAATGTGCAAAAACTCTACAGTCTGCCAGAATAACTGGTTCACCAGTTCAATCTTGAGATCAGTTAACACAAAGGGTATTGCACTGAAGACCCACCCCACCCAGCTTCCTATACAGTGGGTACCAGGGGTTAAGTGGCAGGTGCATGGAGCTGCCTAGTCACCTCCATCTAGTGTACAGGTCAAGAATGGTGAAGCTATACCTTCACTCCCCATACATCTTCAAGCTGTGCTGAATCAAATAAGCACAAGGACAACTTTACCCTTTTTTTATGACAAATTTTCATTGAAAAAGGATCTGATATCAAAAGATATGTATATGTATATGTACAGATATGTGTAGTAGTACACTTTAGTGAAATGTGAAAAGTGGGCTATGTTGTTTTTAAATTGTGATTACAATAAAATAATTGGTCTAGTAGAGAAAATTCTTGTTCTCATCTCAGTTCTCTAAATGTTTATGAATTCAGATTTTAGACTCATCTCAAACTGAAATAGTGATTCTTGCACATGCCTGAGACACATTTCAGTTTGAATACAGATGCTAAGTTTGACTCATAGTAAGGAAGCTGACAGGACCCTAAATAAGTCTGGTGTAGGTGAACAGCAGGTACTTCTTTCACTGTACATGTCATCAGTAACAGAATAATAGCTTTGAAATCCAGAACTGCAATTTTATACTTCATTTCTGTTGCACATAAAAAATATGTTATAATCAATGAAAACAGAAAGTATAGTGAATTTTCTGGTTGCTATGGAAGGAGGCCATCGGGCAGGCTGCACCATAGCTCAAGCGGTTAGTCACTGGCTTCCCACTGCGGTGCCCCGGGTTCAATCCCGGGTCTGGTCAAGTGGGATTTGTGGTGGACAAAGTGGTGCTGGGGTAGGTTTTCTCCGAATACTTTGGTTTCCCCTGCCAATCTTCATTCCACCAATTGCTCTAAAATCACCCTCACCTATCACCTGGGGCTGGTACAATAGGCCAGAAGTGGCCACAGTACAAGGGACTTAGTCCCACCCCACTAGCACTACAAAAGAGAGCCATCAGGCTGGTCATGTCATTGATTGAGAATAATAAGTTTTGTATTTGTGTATGTGTTTGTTGTGTGCCAGCCATGTCATGTTCAATTTCAGTTTTCTTTCAGACCTTTCTTGAAGATATAAAATACCATCCATAATGTTCAGCAAACAGTATGGTGAAACTATTTATTAAATTGCTTGAGTTTATGTGCTTTTGTTTTTTATCTTCATGGTTTCAAGGTTATTTTATTTATAATCATTTATAGTGAATAAATTAATTTATTTGTAATTAAAAGAGTGAGGCAAGGCTTGCTGGACCCGCACATATGGCATCATAGAACAGAAATACATGGACAACATGGTAA